CAGCAGCCGTGGGAATGGTGTCTAATCCCGCAGCAGTGACAGGTCTCTGGCCGAGCTGGCCGTGCTCTGGGTGACCAGGGTGGCCTTGGCCCCGCACTGAGGGCAGAACGTGTCCCTTCCCCCAGCCCYGCTCCCTCAGGAGCACAAAGGGCCCTGGGCTGAGCCTGCCACCGCTGTCCCCGGGCAGACAGCCAGCCTGTGGCACTGTGAGCGCTGTGGGGCCGAGCCAACATCGCAGCTCCCCTGGACCTGGCTGGGCGAGGGGATCCCCTGCCTGGGTGCCCTGTGGCTGCTCGGTCCCTGGCAGCTCCTCCTGGAGCAGGGGGATGTCCCAGCACCCCGGGAATCCTGGGGTCCTGGCATGGGGACTGGGATGGGAAAGAGACCCTGTGGGCTGCACGCACCCTCTCAGAAAGCTGTGCCTCAGTTTCCCTGGGTCCTTGGGCACCCACAGCGGTCTCCCTGCTCCACCATCCATCTGCTCTGTATTCTCATGTCGGACCACGCTCCCAGGGCACTGCAAATCCATTGGCTGGGAGAATCTGTATCCCATTAACATCCCTGGCAGCTGGGCCCTCCCTGCCCACAGCTGGGCATTCCAGGATCTGCCTTRGCCAGTAGGAGGGCTTGAGCATCCTGCTGCTGCCCCCACACCCCCGACAGCATCCTGCAAACGTGCCAAGACTTGGAGGATGGAGCCTGATGGCTGCCCCAGGGTGCAGGATGATGGTGGAGAGGGCTCCACGTGCCCCAACAGTGTCTGTCAGTGCCTTCATTATCTGTGACACAGGCTGTTCCCTGCTCTCACCAGGGGAAAAAAAAAATCAGAGCACAGAGGGCTGAGAGGAAACACTGGGTTTTCAGATCCGTTTCCTCCTCCCACTTCCCAAGGCTGCTCCTGCGTGAGAAAGCCAAGGCACTGCTCGGGTCCCGGCAGCGGTGACAGCAGGGTTGGGAGGTGGCAGCAGCGGTGGTGGCTGGAGCATCCTCCCTGGAGAGCTCTGGGAGCCAGGCTGTGGCTGCCTCCGTTCCTGCTGGTGGCTTCCCGGAGCTCTTGTCGTGCTCCTTCTCYTTGGGCCTCTCTCCACCATGGGAACAAAACCTGGCACCCGTGTTCTGAGCTCTGGGAGAGCAGGGTTTGCGTGTGGGCTGGAGGGACAAACTGCACCCACCCCCTGCGCACGGTCCCGAGAGCAGCGGGATGCTCCAGGGTGGGCAGAACCAGCCGGAGCTCAGAGGGTGAAGGGTGGCAGGGCTGGGACAAGCAGAACCGCACGGATACACCCAGCGGGGCTCAGCCATCTGCTATCAGCCACCAGGGACCCAGCCCAGCTCCTCCCGAGCGAGCGGGAGCGCAGGGTGCAGCTGCAGGCGGGCAGGACGGGGCTTGCMGGGCACGCCACGCTGCCGGCACACGCTGGCCAGGGCGGTGCAGAGCGGGCAGAGCTCCTGGGGGAGCGGGGACAAGCCCTGCCTGTCCTCTGGGGTCAGCGGCCCAGGGGATTTCAGTGCCACCCCCATGGCGTCACTGTGTGCCCGCACGGAGCAGCGATTCCGGGCGGATGCGGGTGGGAGGATACAGGCGTGGATCAGGGCAGAGGGAGACAGCTCAGCCTGCCAGCTCCAATCTTTTAATTGCCGTGCTTCTCAAATATTTCCGAAACATGACCCTGAGTCGGCTCCTCCAGGCAAGGATACGAGCACCAGCTGGTTCCCTCGGCTGTAAACGCTCCCTCCTGCTCCCAGCCCAGGGCAATTATGGGGAATCAGTCGTGTCTGTTTTAGGGAAAAAGCTGGGAAACGGCTTTAATGGCAGTGTGTCAGCCTTCCATACTGCCCCTGCTAGCCATAACCAGTGTGATGCTCAGGACAGACCCTGTCTCAGCTCTCCACGTCAGCCCGGATTCCCTGTCGATCCCTGGGAAGGTGCTGAGCACGGAGGGGCAGGTCCTGCAGTGCCCGAGTGCCGTGTTTTGGGTGTGTTGTTTGTGCAGGAGGGGTGGAGAGCCCAGGCTCTGGGATGTGGTTATCCCTCCGTCATTGTCTGTCTGCCTCGCAGTTGCTGGGTGTGGAAACAGAGGTCAGCCTCAATTTGTCTGAAATTTGAATCGCAGCTGGGCTGGGGAGCCATGGCAGGCACGGGGGATGCTCTCTGGTGCCCCACTCCGTATTTCCAGACCTGGGAAGCTCCTCTGGCCCTGCAGGGTAGATCCGTGTTCTTTATCTCACGTGGGCAGGGCGGTGGGAGCGCTGCCAGGTTGCCGAGGTCCCTCTGTGGGTTTGTTTGAGGTGCTCCCAGGGTGACGTGCCGGCTCTTCCCCCAGGCTCCATCCCGTCCTGCCGGGCTTGCTGCCAGCTGAGCCTGTTCTGCAGGCTGCGGGCATGACTGGCCCGAATCAGGCAGGCACGTAGCAGGGARGGAGGGCTCCATCCCGGGCCACTGGGCTTGGCTTGGAGCCGAGCGGAGGTGCTGAGCCTCCTCGTCACACTCTGCGGCTGTCAGCCTCGGCTCTGGCTCTGAGTGTCCCACATGGGACAGTTCCTGGGAGGAGCTGACCCCTGCTTCACTCGCCTCGGTGTCCTGCTGCCCTCCCAGGACACTGGTCCTCATCACCTACCAGCAGGCAGCGTGACCTGTGCCCCCTGAGGGGACCCTGGGATGCTGCTCCTGAGCATCTCCTGGGGCTGGGGAGAGCTGCCAGGGAGGTTTTGGGATTGGGACAGAGAGGCAGGAGCCCTGGGACCATGCCTCCCCAAAACAGAGTGGGGCTGGCTGGCTGAGCTCAGGGGGTTCCTGTGCTCGCTGCCCCAAGTGTGGACAGTGCTTCCCGAGGTCCTGCAGCTGTTGTGGCCCAGAGCAGGGGGAATCTGGGAGGAATGTGATGATTGTGTGKGTCCCTGAATGAAGTCCCTCATTTGTTGAACCCCTGCATTTGCATGGCTAAAGCTTGCTGKGGGTGGGTTTCAAAGCCAAAGGATCCAACCTGCCCTGGCTGCATTCTTTGTTTGCATTTGAATCGCCTGGAAACTGGTCTGTGTCACCGAGCTGTGACAGCCTCCCCTCCTGCTCGCAGCCCTACCTGGGAGCCCCAGTGCTTCCCCTCCTGTTGAAACCTGAGCTGAGACTGCGGTGCTGGTGTTACTAACCCAGGAGAGGTGTGGGATCCAGCCTGTCGCAGGTGTGGTGGCTGTGGGCTCATGGTCCCTGTCCCTCCTCCCTCGAGATGCTCTCCAAGGACTCTGGGGACAGGCTGGGAGAGCTGGGGGTGTTCACCTGGACAGGAGAAAGCTTCAGGGAGWTCTTAGAGCCCTTTCCAATGYCAAAAGGGRCTCCAAGAGAGCTGGAGAGAGACTTGGCACAARGGTCTGGAGTGATAGGACAAAGGGAAYGGCTTCCCACAGCCAGAGGGCAGGGTTAGATGGGATCTTGGGAAGAAATTCYTCCCTGTGAGGGTGGRGAGGCCCTGGCACAGGSTGCCCAGAGAAGCTGTGGCTGCCCMRTCCCTRGAAKGGTCCAARGCSAGGCAGGACCGAGCYTGGAGCACCCTGGGATAGTGAMAGGTTGGTGGAACAAAATGACCTTTAAGGTCCCTTCCAACCCGAACCATTCCATGATCTTCCCTGAACCTCTGCAAATTTTGCAGCCGGCTTGGCAGGGAAAGGTGCCAGGGAAGCCAAAGGGCATGGCCAGAACACTTTTGAGCTTGTTTGGGCTGTGGTTTGTGTTTCACATCCAAGCAGGAGCCCACCTGGACCCTCAGCCCTCCCTCAGGTAGCGGGGGCAGCGCTGAAGCCGCGTCTGATGCTGCAAACCCCRAACAACCCAATCCTCTGGTTTGAGGATTTAAACCCTGCCGGCAGAGCTCGGCCYCAAAGAGCAGCCGTTTTCCAGGTTACTGCCTGTCCTCCCCTGACCTCAGGAAGTGGATGTTTCCCAGCAGCGGGAATACAACCACAAGCCTTAAAATAACCTGGGTTCGCTTTCAGCGCTCCTTACAAAATAGGCCACGTTCCTTCTGTTTAGTCCCCGGGCACAAGGAGAGAATCGCTGGGCAGGAAAATGTGATGCTTTGAGGCAGAATGGAAGTGGATGCAGCCCCCATCCCTYGCTGGGGGTGTGTAATTAGTGAAGATAACGAACGTGTGTGTTTGAGTGAGATGGGGGAGGTGCAGAGCCGTGATCTGGACTGGCAGTCAATGGCAGAAGTTGTCCCAGCCTTTTGGGAGCAGCACGGCCCTGGCAATCTCCCAGCCCTGGCGTGGGCAGCACGGTCACCCTGACCCCATTTCACAGAGTGGAGAGGGTGTGATTTGCCTCTGAGCCAAAGGAAACCTCATTTTTCCCTCTGGATGGGGCAGGAGGAGTGTTTTGGAGGTGGGGGGCAGACATTCACCAGCCACCCCTTTGGGCCAAGCAGGCTGGGAGCTGCTGGGGCTCCTTCCACTGTGCCCTGTCCTGTGGAGCTGGGGGACACGGGGTGACGATGGCTCTGGGTGCCCATGACACGTGCCAGCACCAGCTGAAGCAGGGCAGGTGTGATTTGCTGCTCAGCAAAGGTTTGCCACCCTAAACCCAGCCAGGAAAAACTGCTGGYGTGGTCCAGGCAAACATCCCTTGAAGCAGGACCACACAGGCTGCTTATTTGGGAAGGGGCTGTGTGGAGGATTTTATCTCGGGGGAGAGGGGTGCAAGTGGTCCCCCGTGGTCCCTGGGGGCTCATGTCAGCTTCCCATCAGAGGTGCACGAGCAGGACGTGCCCTGTGATGAGATTCCCAGCTGGAGCAGTGCAGGGTATTATTGTTGGGCCCCATCCTGAGCTCAGCGCTCAGTTTTTCCTCTGCCCTCCCTCAGACAGTTTCTATTTAAGTTTTTAAGACTCCAGGCTGGGGAAAATTTGAGCAAGAGCCCAGAATACGGTCCATTACCTCCAAATGTCGCTCGGCAGTTTAAAACAGGCCTGGCAAAGGAGACGRCTTAAGAAAAGAGCGATGCACCTCGGAAAAGGCACTTTATTCTGTTTGCTTCTGCCATTCTGGAGGCTACACTGGAAAACCACGCTGGCTCCRCTTCTCCGCTCTCCTCTCCGGTTTCACACTGGTGAAAGCTCCAGCAATCCCTCCCTCCCTGCCAAGGGCATCCTACCTGTCGTGCAACCCCCCAGGGCTTGGTGTAATCAACTCGATGCAGCGCACACACTGCAAGTAGAGAAAGAGCGGGGTGGATATTTTTCCAAGTGGGTGGGGACTACTAAATTCCCCTGGCATTGGCCACAGAGTTTTTTCCGAGCCTCTGCTCCAGTGTCTCAGCCCGCCTAGCCCTGGGGGATTTGGGCAGCTTCATCCCCAGCCTGACTCAGCGCAAGCCGCTCCTCATCCTCCCTCTCGCCAAGAGCTGTGAAAAGCACCCCTGTGGTGACAGTGCTACCCTCCGAGGAGCCACCACCGGACCAGCCCGGGTGCCTCTGTGGTGACCAGCGTCATCAGGTCCCCCCCAGCACTGTGGCCACCATCAGGTGGCCCAAATGAGCACCCAAAGTCAGCGTTTCCCAGCAATGCTCAGGAATTTTGCCTGTCCCCAATTGCTTATGCAGCGCTCCGTCCCTTGCCCAAGGGAGACGTGGGGCTGCCAGGTGGGCTGGAGCAGCAGCCCCCAGGGCCCTCCTGCATCTGCGGGATGCCAGCTCCCGGGGAGGAGGAGGAGAGCCGCGAGGAGGTGGCCGGTAGCGCTGCAGGAGGGGCCGGACCCCCAGGTGGCCTCGAGCCACCGCTCCTGAGCCCTTCACACCCAGTACTGGTTGTTTTTCAGCGGGGGGTTGGAAGTCCGGCAGTACTGGAGGAGCTCGGGGTCTGGCGGTGCCGCAGTGCCTGCGGGCGGGGGACCCGTGCCCTTGCCCTCGGCTGTGGTGACAGTCGTTAGGGGGATGCCTTGGCTGGGGTCTGTCCTGCGGAAGGTCTCGTGGTCTGGCACGGCCCCGTTCTTGGCCTTGGAGGCGGGAGTGCCCTGCACGTGGTGCTTGCCCGTCTTGTTGCGCTTGTGCAGGTAGAAGAGCAGGGGCAGGATGAGCGCCAGCAGGAGCAAGATGAGGCAGATGGGGATGATGATGCTGAACATGTTGGCCTCGATGAAGCTGAGGAAGGTGCCCCCCGCCCCAGGGCTGGGGCTGGCGGTGGCGCTGGGGGCCACACTCAACTCAGTGCCGCGGGGCACCGGGGGCGAAGGGGCCAGTGGGGCCGTGAGCAGGGTGACACCGTAGGATTTTGAGGCGTTGTAGGGCTCGATGCTGTACTCCAGGGACGCCAGTGCCGGTGGCACACCGGCAGCCACCAGCTCGAAGAGGAAGCCGTCGCTCTGCAGGGGTTGTTGGGTGCCCCCTGCGTCCTCCAGCACCTCCAGCCCCACCAGCCCTTGCTCCAGCTCGCTCTGGCTGAAGGTTTCGATSGGGGAGCTGGCTTGTCCTGGGTCCCTGGATACCCTCACGAGACGGCTGGCACGGGGTGCCCTGCGCACCTTGAACACCGGGACGCTCTTGGTGCGGTTGGCCAGCTCGCTGGCATCCAGGACGCTGGTGTCCAGCAGGGCTGTAGTGCCCTGGGGCCACAGGCTGCCCGCTCGGGTCTTGACTGTGGCGCGGACGGTCACGTTCACCACCCCGCTCCTGTTTCCTGCCCGCGACATGGCCACGAACTGGAAGTCATCCTTGGGCGACGTCAGGTCACTGAAGGTGAATGTCACCTCCCTGCGCTCCAGCTGCTTCTGCGAGAAGSCCCGTGATGGCTTTTGGTTGACCTGCACCTGGCCAAACCTGGGCTCCCTGGTGATCCTGTAGAGGACATTGCCGGCCCCTCGTGGGACAGCACCCAGCAGGTGACGCTGGGACACCGGGGCCCTGTTCAGGTCCTGGGGCACCTCCAGCGGTGCTGGGCTGGCAGCGGTGCTCACAGCAGGCAGCACCTCRATCTCCAGTGAGGTCTGCGTGGGGGGGTGCTGGCCACTGGAGAGGCTCAGGGCTAAGGAGCCCGAGGCAYGGCTCCCAGTGGCCACGAACACCACGTGGCCAGCGTTAACATCCGCTTGGGTGAAGCGGCCGATGGGCTCGCGCGGGTTGCGTGCACTGGCCAGGTGGCCAGCCAGGGCTCTCTGGAGGACGCTGTACACCATCTCCTCCGGGGGCATGGCTGGGTCTGCCACGTCCAGGTACTCCCGTGACAAGGTGACCACAGAGCCCGGTGGCACCTGCAGCACTTCCTGCCGCTTCACCACCCSCAGTGACTCGGTGCCGCCGGTCACCGTTACGTTGAACGCTTCAGAGATGACCACCCCGTCCTGTGGAGGACGCACGGAGCGCTGTTCCTGGGGCTGCAGCCAAGCCTTAAAACTGAAATGGTCTCTGGAGGTGCCATCCCCACCGTGGGCGTACACCAAACGCCTTGCTGCCAGGTCTGACTGCAGGAAGAACGGCCGTGACCCATCCACAGGCGTGCCGGCCACCAAGAGCCGTCCGTGAGCCGGGGGCTCTGTCACCAGGAATACAACGTCATATCCAGCCCTCTCAGGGACYAGGATTTGGCTCAGGAGGTTGGAGGCATCCAACACCGAGGTGTCAATCTCAGCCTGCTGAGCCCTTGCAAGCTGGAGACCTGGGGAGAAAAGGGATGAGAATCAGCTTGGGGAGGTTGGTGAGAGTTTGATGCGATGATGGAAAAAGGAATTGGATGCCGTTTTAGATGACTGATGTAATGCATCGACCATGGAGAACAACACAATGGTGTCTTCTGACAAACAAGCCCTCCTGAAGAGCTGTTTGGTACCATGTTTYTCCACCCCACCCTTACCTTCATTTTTCCACAGCTGAGTCGAGCGCTGGGGACACTTTTCCTCGAATGAGATCAGGACAAGGAGGATGAAGGAATCGGAGATGGTSGTGGGAGTGACCACACGGAAGCGGATGGCATCTTGGGCCAGCCAGAAGGGCTTGTCCGGCATCTCGTGCTGGTAGAAAATCAGCATGGTGTCCACCTAAAAATTAAAAAAAAAAATCCTTGATGAGCTCCTATCCTGACTCTAAGATGGAGTAACCAATCTCTAATTARGTAAGAAACGGGGATTATCACAAGCCATGGCACAGCAGCCCCATAAAGAGCTCACGGTGTCTCTCTGCCAGGATGTGAAGTTGTGGCTGCCCCATTCCTGAAGTGCCCAAGGCCAGGTTGGATGAGTTTGGAGCAATCTGGTCTAGGGGAAGTGTGCCTGTCAATRGCAGGGAGTTGGAACTAGATTACCTTTAATGTCCCTTCCAACCCAAACGATTCTGTGACTCTGTGATGTTTCTCCCAGCAGTTGGGGAACTGAGGCTCAGAGGAAGGGTTGAGCTTGCTCAGCATCCTTCAAGGGTGAGCACAGCACAGAGGAGCTTCCAGGGAGGATGAAGGTATGTGTTTCTAAGCYTTGGAATAAAATAAGCCCCTTGCTGTGCCCTGCAAAATTTGGCCYCACAGGAAAAGGGTTTTCTTAGAGCAGGGGTGAAAACAACACGCTTGGCTCTTCCCTTCAGCAGCARYAGCAGCCAGGCTGGCTGGCTCTGCAGCAGGGAGGTGGCCCAGGAAAAGGGATTAGAGCTCCCTCAGCCTCCCCCAGTGCTAAATCCAAGGCTGGGGCAGCAGCACTTAATCCCTCTTAGCAGCTGCTGGCAGAGCTGGGAAAGTCACGGCGCGGCTGGAGCCTGGTGCTGCCTCCTGCCCGGGATCGGTGGCAGTGGGGTCACACTGGGACCCCCATGCTGTGGTGGGGGCTGGCAAAGGGCTGTGCTTGGGGTTCTCAGGGGCTGGAGGAGGTGAAATCTCGCCTGGGCTTGGGTGAAGTTCCTGATTTCCTCTCCCTGCGAGGTGGTCAGCCTGCCCAGGCGCGGGGCTTGCTCGATGCTGTAGTACAGAGTGCTGGAGCTGGCGGGGCTGTTGCTCACTGCCTGCAGGTTCTGGCTGGTGATGGGCTGCAGGGCACCTGGAAAACACACCCAGCATGGATTTCAACCATGCCCCGCACCCGCAGCCTCTGCTGTGGGCATCTCAGCAGTGCTTGGGCAAGGGCAGGCGGTCCCAGGGGGCCCCATTTGAACCGGGACAATGGGGAACTGGTACCCACCGGGGCAGATGGTGAGGCTCTGCTTCCTGGCCAGGCTGACRACGGGCTCTCTCTGGGCCCTGACGAGGAAGAAGTGCCCAGGAGAGAGGTTCTCACCATCCCACAGATCAAAGGCGAAGCCACCGTCCAGGGGTCCTGCGGAAAGCACAGAGCTTGGCATCCTTGGGGGGCAGAGGAGACGCAGCTCCTCATCCACCCCGGCAGGTTTGGCCCGGGGTGCTGTGCCATGGGGTCAGCGCCCGCCTCGGTGGCACAATGTCCCCGTCACCCTGGGGTGGCGCAGGGGGCCTGGAGCGCCTCGGTCCCACCCTACCTTGGTGAACGAAGAGGACGAGGCCGTTGTCRATCTGGGCCTGGGTGAACCTCTGCACCTCGGCACCGGGCGCTGACCTCAGCACCACCTTGCCGTTGGCCGGGGGCTGGATGGAATAGGTCACCTCTTCGGCCGGGGAGTCCTCGTCCTCGGCGCTCAGGATGTGGGGGCTGAGCACAGCCGTGGCACCTTCCCGCAGCTGGGGGAGAGCGAGAGAGGCTGTAATCCCCGGGATAGCCCTGGCTCCTCTCCCCTTTCCYCGGCTCAGCCCGCTCTGCTGGGCGCCAGAGCGCATCCCAGCCCAACAAGGGCRCCTTGTCTGCGCCTCCATCCTCTGGCCCCTTCCCAGCCCTGCATCACCGCTGCCGTGTTTGCCAGCACGTGCCACACAGCCGGGTCTGCGCCTCTGTGCGCCGGACGGCAASCGTGCCTCAGTTTCCCCKGYTCCTGGAAGTGTGAGAGGGCACGGTGCCCGGGGGCAGGGGGTGTGCCTTTGGGACCTTGCTTTGCAGGGSAGGGGGTTTCAGCCCTCCCAGACAYSATGACCCYGTGCAGCCTCRTCTCTCCCTGRYTGGGTGTTTCCCCTCGCTCCTGCTTCCGTCCCACTTGCCGCTGTCCCAGCAAACCCTTCAGGAATGACAAATATGTGGCTGAGTTCAGAGCCACTTCCCAGGACCWCTTCCTGTCATCCAGCGGTGCCTTCCCTCCCCTGGGAACGCTGCTACCCCAAAGCCCCGGCATCTCCCATCTCCAGCTGGAGGCAACAGTTTTCCCCGCTCGTAACCCTGTGCCACATCTCGACTTTGTCAGACCACAGGGATGAATCTCGTGCTGCCAAACAGGTCCTGCCCACACAGCCCAGAGCTGCCCTTTGCCCTCAGGATGCCCTGGAATCACGGGGTGYGTGGATGGAGCCGTGCCACGGCTCGCGTGGGGCGGAGGGGTGGGATGTGCCGCATCCCACAGCATCGTGAGGCTGGGATTTGGGAAATCTGCATCTTGGGAATCTGCAAGGCAACACCCAGGCAGGCGCCGGAGGAGGTGCTCCGCTGGATGAGCTCTTTGCTGTTTTCAGCTGGCCTAACCCAAAACATTGCTTGAGTGGGTGTGGGTGCCGACAGAGAAATAAAATCCCTCAGCAGTCCCCACGGGATGGTGGAGGCAGGCTGGAAAACACAGCTTCGGAGAGACAGGGTGGGGGAAGTGCTGCTGGACACACAGCCGGGGCAGGAGCTTCACCGAGCTTTTTGGGCTGCTTGCTYTCCCCAGCACCCACAGCGGTCGGAGCTGCAATCACTCAGAGGGCTTGGAGCCAAGGAAAACTCCCTGTGGGCAAAGCAGGGGGCACTGGCAGCCCCAGGGCATCGCTGTCCGCTGGGAAGGGACTGTCAGAGCGGCTGGAGCAGCTTCCCTCCCCGCCCCGAGCCCGCGCCGCGGGAGCTGACCCACTTCTTCACGCTGCTCGTCCTCCCTGAATTATTAAAGCCTTCCGCCCGGCTCCTGCGCTCGCTCGCTCGGCTCATTGTGTTTGCTCAGCCTCCGTGTCGCCTCTGCTCTCGGGGAGAGATCGCAGGGAGGCGGCCAACAGCGCCGGGAGCGTGGCCGTGCGCTCTGGGGTGGCAGCGCAAGCCTCTCTCTTGATGGCATCCAGCCATCCTTCCTTCCTTCAGATCCACCCCAAAACCTGCTGCTTCTCCYCGAGGGGCTCCTGTTTGGGGTCCAGACCCATCCCGCTGCCTCCCAGCCCTGCGAGGACTCGGCATCCCCGGAARCCTTTGTGCAATGGCTCTCCCGGGCCCGGGCTGACCTTTAAACGCTGAAGTCATCCCTCAGCAGAGCACAAACACGGCAGGGCCGGGCCTCTCGCATCGTTCCCGTTGGGGGAAGGAAGCTTTTCCCAGCCCCAGAGCTCCTCTGGGCAGCCGGGGTTACTCTTCCCAGSGTGCAAAGGGATTCCCATGGAAAGCCTGACAAACTGCTGACAAACKGAGTTCATTTTTGGGAGCTTTTTCTGTTTTTTCACCCTTATTCTCAGCGTGATKGCTGGGAGGGAGGGAAGGCCATACTTCCACTGTGTCTGGAGTGGGGAAAGGGGACTGGCAGGGGACCAGCAGCTGAGGGGTTAACTTCTCCCTGAATTTTGGCCTTGGTGATGCAGATCTAGAAAAGGCATTTGCTGGGAAGCTTCCTGGSCTGGAGAGGGAAAACCTGGGGCAGGCACACAGCTGGGACAGGGGGTACCTCCCAAACTTTGTACACCCCCCAGAATGGCTGTCTGTGGGGCTGGGCACTGCAGCCCCTTCCCCAAGGGCATCTTCTCCAGAGCCCAGGCTCCCAGAACCCTTCCCAAAACACCTGTGTGATGATCCCTATGGAACAGGTTGCTTTCCTGCTGCCAGCCTGGGAAATCCTGGGATAAGTGAAAATAGATTGGGGGTGTGAGGTCGGGGGTGGGGGAACACACGCGATTGTGCTTGCATGTTTTCCAACAAATTCTTTGCCGGAATTTCGCATTAATGACCTCTAACGGGACAGGGTGGTGTTGGAAGCAGAAGGTGAGAGCTCAGCAGCAGGTGAGAGAAACCTCTTTGCTTCTCCCTAAGGAGAGGTGTGAAAGCTGCCCCGAGAATTGAGTAATTCCAGCCTGCACTGGTGAAAYGCGGGCAAGCTGCTGTCGGGAGCTGGCAGGGATTATCCCGGGAGCAGGGTTTTCGGGGGCGCTGCTGCCGCTGCCGCGCTGGCACCGCGGGCCGATGCTCCCATCTCGCGGCCGATCCCCGCATCGGCGGCGGGGCGGGACAGCGAGCCCTCCGCCTCCTGCACAGCCTCGCCCCGCCAGGAAAACCCTCCTCCTTTCCCCGTTCTGCCCTCTGGGCGGCAGCCCGGCTCCGCCGAGCTCCCCGGGTGAGTGCCCGGGAGCGCAGGAGGGTCCCCGCTGACCTGCAAGCCGGCGTTGACCTTCAGCCGCGGCCCCTTGCTGCTGCGGGGCAGGATGGTGACGAACAGCGTCCTGGGCTGGCTCTGTCGCGACACCTCGGAGGCGTTGGCCAGCACGGTGAAGCTGTCGGCGARGGATCGGGGACCGTCCTGCCTGTACTGGATCTGCTGGTTCTCCACCTGCGGGGCAAGGGCCCGGTGATCCTCCAGGGACGACAAAGCCCACCACCCCTCTGAGGAGGAGACCCTGCACCATCCTGGGAGGATGCTGGCGACCCACCGCTCGCTCGGGGGCAGCCCTGCAGGGTGGATCCATGAGACAGGAGTGGGATCTCTGCGGGAAGCAGACCCAGAGCCCAGCATGGGCTGCAGAGCAAACCCGCTGCCCCAAAAGCCTCCATCCCTTCTGATGGGGAGAACACCCCTGCAGCCCTTCCCAGCTTCCCGGTGTGAAAACCACCCCGAGCTCTCCCCAAACCCTTGGRAAAGCAGCCGTGGGTGCTGTACCTCGCTCCAGGTGAAGCTGCGCAGCCCGCCCTGCTCGGGCCGCTGGCTGCTCAGGAGGGTGCCGAAGCGGGGGGGCTCCAGCACCCTGAACTCCATGCCCAGGGCTGGGTAGTAGGTGTTGGGAATGCGGAGGATGGCCGAGGAGAGGGCGGCAGAGCCACCTGCCGGCACCGTGATGTTGTGGACATCCAAGGGGACGGCGATGGGCAGCACGACCAGGCTGACCACCACCCCCTCCAGAGGGTCCGCGCCGCGGGCTGTGATGTCCAGGACGAACCGGTCGCGCTCCTCGTTGGGCTTGGAGTGGAGGTAGAGGACTCTGCYGCTGCTGATGTCCTCCTGGGTGAAGGACTGGACGGGGTCCAGGCTGGGCTGCTCGTTGGCGTCCTGGCTGTGCTGAAGCATTGCCAGGAAGCCGGAGGCTGGGGGGCTGCTCAGCAGGTACACTATGTCTTGGGGAGGGATCTCTTCATGCGTCACCTATGAGGGTGGGGGAGATGGGGTGTGAGTGGGAGGGCTGGTGCCTTCCCCACAGCCCACCTGCTCTGCAGCCAGTCCCTCAAAGCTTTGCTGTGGGATGAACTGCAAGAATCACCTTACTGAAGCTGTGCCTGAATCCCTCTCTGCCCCTGGGCAAAGCCTGGCAAGAGCACAAGGCCTTGGCTCTGAGCAGGTGGGAGTAAAATGGGGTCCCACGGRTGCCTGTMCTGGTTTGGTGGCCAGGGAAGACAYGCAGGCGTGGGGAATGACTARAAAAGGGAAAACTCACCAGTAAATCCTCYTCCTCAATCCCGGCCGCTTCCCCCTGGAAAACATAGATCTCCTTGTGGTTGACTATGTTCAGGGGGCTGGGATGGGTATCCAAGAACACACTGATGGCCAGCGTGTCCTCCACTGCCACCTCGTTTGCTTCTACTGTGAACTGGAGCTCATCCCGGCTGTTCCTGCTCCCATTGTGGCGGTAGGAGATCTCTCCTGCCAGCAGATCCCTCTGGGAAAAGGCCATGACTGGCTGCTCCCCTCTCAGCACGGTGCCCCACCTCGGCGGGGTGGTTATCAGGAACCGTATCTCTTCGTCTGACCTGATGTCCATGTTGGTCTCCAGGCTGAGRACAGAGGAGTCAATGCTCCCTCGGGAGCCCTGGTGGATGACCAGACCAGTGTTGTTGACTATTTTGATGTAGGGCTCTGATGCCTGCACTTCCAGGAGCGCYGTGGTTTGGTGGAGGCCATCTGAGACCTGGAGCTGGATCCAGCCCCGGTCAGCRCCAGAATGGACAAAGAGGATCTTCCTCTTCCTCAGGTCATCCTGTGTGAACCGATAGACCTGGTGGTTTCTGTCATCCACTGACACGATGCTGCCAAACAAGATGTCCTTCCTGGCCAGCACCAGCTGCGCGTCGGAGAAGCCAGAGTCCTTGTCGGTGAAGGCGATGTCGTCAGTGGTCAGCAGGTGCTGCCCRTTGCGCACCACGTTGAACACTCTGTTCACTGCCCGGACGGGGCTGTGGTCATTGACGGGTTGGATGGACACCCTGAAAACGCCTCTCACCTCCTCGGCCTCGGGCTCGCTGCTGCCCTCCCCCTGCCTGATGGCTACGAAGGGGATGTCGTCCTCCAGCGTCTCAGAGTCATCGTGCTGGTACAGCAGCCGGCGCTGGAGGATGTCGTCGTTGGTGAACTCCGTGATCTCCTCCCTGGAGGCCCAACCGTGCGACGCAGCCCAGGCCAGCCTCCCGTGTGCCGGCCCCTCAATCACCTCGTACACGTAGTCCATGCTGTTGACGCTCTGCACRAACAAATGATCCTTGGAGATGACGGCCTGCCCGCCTTCCTGCACGGTCAGGAGCACGTTGGTCAGGGTGGGTGCGTCAGGGTCCCCGCCGATGCTGATGGGGTAGGTGTAGACAGGTGAGTAGCGCTCGCCGGCGTGGACGCGGAACTGGAAGGAGTCCTCAGCTTGCTGCGAGTTCCTGATGGTCACGCCGTAGCTCAGGCGGTTTTCCTGCAGGTCGTCTTGGGTGAATCCAAAGCCTTCAGTCAGCCTGTGGCCGAGCARCTCCAGGTTTCCCTTCTTGGGAGCCTGGGTGATTATGTAGTGGAAGGGAACCGGGGTGGAGTTTGGATCTTCCAGCACTGCTTCCAGCTCCTTGCTGGTGATGTTTCTGTGCCGCTGATTCTTCATCTGGAGGGCAGCCATGGTCTTCATCTTGATGGTGGCTCTCTTAATTCTTACAAGGAAGGTGTTGTTTGGCAAGAGCTTCTGCCCCACCTGGACTTTGAATCTCACCTCCTCCACACTGTCTTCCAGCCGGTGCYCTGGGTCTGTGCTGAAATACTGGATGCGCCCTTGCTCCACGTCTTGCTGGTGGAAGGACTCCACTTTTTTCCACTCCCCTCCCATGCTCCCTTGCTTCTGGACTTCACCATACTTGAGGGGCTCCGTGAGGACGTAGAGGATGGAGACGCGTTGTTCCGCAGCGTTCGTCACCACGGACAGGTTGGCTGCGGTGATGCGCGCGGCCCCGCCTTGCGGGAGGGACAGGCCGGTGTTRTTGAGCAGGCGGATCTCGGGGTCGATGGCGAGGATCCTCAGCGTGGCAATGGGGCTGGGGACCGTGCCGTCGCTCACCTGCAAGGTGAGCTGTGGGTTTGTCCCGCCCTGGTGCACGTAGACCACGTTRCCGGCTTCCAGGTCCCGGCAGGAGAACTCTTCGACGGGCACTCCGGGGTGGAAGTCTAACTCCACGTAACCCTCCTCCATCTGCTGACYGTGCAGCTGGAATTCGAGGTCATCRCAGGACGAGTCGTCRTCCAGGACCTGCAGGATGTCGGTGGTCAGGTGTTTCCGTGTGTGCTTCAGGATCTCCATGTGGTTCCCWCGGGGAAAGATCACCTGCGGGGCGTCGTTGACGGGGCTGATCATGATGGGCAGCAGGTACACCTGGCCCTGCCGCAGGCACTCCGGGACCCCTTGCTGGGTGGTCACCGTCACCTCCAGCATCAGCTGGTCCATGGGCCCCTCGGAGCCATCGTGGATGTACCTGACTTTGCGGTTCACGATGTCCAGCAGGGTGAACTTCCTTCTGCTCCTGGAGCCCGGAATGTCCAGCTCCAGCTGGCCGTGCCTGGGGTCATTGGTGACGCTGAAGAGGATTTGGGACTGACGGATGTTGGCCAGGCTCAAGTCGACCGTTGGCTGGGCGTGTTTCCACTCCAGGTAGGCCATGCCCCCTTCGGAGACGATGAGGGGGCTGACGTGCAGCAGCCGGCTGATGTTGGCGAAGGCCGGGGGGAAGCTGCTGTCAGGCCGGCACGGTTCCGCCACCAGCCCCGGTGCTCCCGACCAGGTGTTGGGAGGCGGAGAGGTGGATGCCTCATCCTGCTCGTACACCTCCTCGTAGTCCCAGTAGTGGTCCTGCTTCCCGCAGCCTGCCGTGATGTCCTTCGTGATCACGGCGTCCTGCAGGCTCCTCCTCTGCAGGTTTATCCGCAGGTCCTCCAAGCAGCCCACGAAGGAGTGGTTGGTCATGGTCCACAAGGAGATGAAAGAAAGGTGATGCTCCCTCAGCCTCTGCAAAGCCTTCTCGTCCATCCCTCCGATGAAGAGGTTTCCCTGGAGGTCCAGGTAGTTGTTGATGCCCCGGTTGGACGTGGATGAAGCGTAGTAATCTATCAGTATCTCGAACTTGTGGACGCCYGTGTGGACTTTGACGTAGTGCTGCTGCTCGTCGCTGATGAAGACGTTGTTGTGCAGGACGATGACTCCGTTCCCCTTCTCCACAAACCCTCGCAGGCGCCCGTTGGAGATCTCCAGGTAGAAGAAGTCRTTCTCCAGCCCGGCGTGGTAGATGAGGGGTGCCTGGGTGATGCTCGTCGTTATCACAAACTCRATGGTCGCTTCCTGCCTCGCATCCCACGTGGGAAAAGCAATGTAGGAATGYGGCCCCGGGAATCCGAATGGCTCCTCGGGCTCTGCGGAGAACTGCGTGCTGCAGCCTTCCTGGACGCGGTGGAAGGTCTTGGGGCTGCCATCAGCAGACAGACGGGCCAGGACATCCAGGCCGTTGAATGTCACCRAGTGAAGACACCCCCTGAAGGGAGGGCTGGCCTCGCCAAGGTAYGGCAGGTCCAGGCTGCCTGTCCCGCCGGCGTAGAGGCCGTGCTGGATGTCCAGCTCCCTCGCCGGCCCCGCGATGTCTGCCGAGCTGTTGAAGCGGCCATCGATGGTCAGCGTCATCCTGCCATCTTCCACCAGCAGCTCCACGTCATGCACTGCCAGGTCGTTGAGCTGCAGCCCTGCTGGGGACTGCARGGTCACCTCCTCTGAGCCCAGCTGCAGCCTGGCCTGCAGGGAAACGCACAAAATCCTCCAGTGAGACCTCTCCACCTTCCAGAAATACCTGCTGAAGCTTGGTCCCATACCCAGGTGCTCACAAGGGCTTTGGTCCCTGGGTTCACTCCTCTTCCTTCATCCTCCCCACGGACCTGCCCTCTTCGTGCTGCTCCCTGAATTTCTCTCWTTTTTCATTCATTCTCAGCAAACCCCAGTCTCAGGGTTGGGACCCTCCATCTCCCAGTCCCACAACTGGACTTTTCCCTCACAAAGCAGTGCTGCCAGGCTCCTCCTTCCCTGCTCTATCTTGCCCACTGCCCTCCACCCCTGCAACCTGGGCTGCTTCCAGCCCTTTCCCTGGGAACTGGCAGGGGAAATAGCAGGCTTTGCTCCCCGTGGGCAGCAGCCTGGAGCCTGCCTAAGTAGAGGGTTAGCTGGTGGGACACRTGGTGTGCATTAGGGACACCTCTGGCCAGCAGCTCGCTTTGGTTTAAYGTGGGAACATCCTCGCAGGGGATGGAGCTGTGACACAGAGGCCTGGGAGGGGTTGGGGTGCCGGGGTGCTGACCTGCAGGGAGCCAGCTTGCAGCTGCAGCAGGAGGTGGTCGGGCTGGCCGGCAGCCAGGAAGAGCAGCCCGCTGCCCTGGCTGGTGAAGAGCTGCAGGTGGAGCCGCACCGTGCGCGAGGCGTCTGCCAGCGGCATCTCCACGAAGCTGTCCCCGAAGAAAGAGGCTGGGGAGGAAAGGGACAAAGTCAGGCAGGGAAGGACACTCCTGCAAGCCCTGTCTGGGTGGGTGCTGTCATTATGGAGCCTCTCAAGCCCTTCCCTYGTTTGCCCTCTGACAGGTTGCTGGGGCCCAGCAGCCTAAAAAGACCYTTGGGGGAGTCTCCTTGTCTGATTTACCTACAGGAATCCTAGAAGGGTTTGGATGAAAGGAACCTTAAAGCTCTGCTTTAGTCAGAGACATCTTTCTCTAAACCAAGTTGCTCCAAGCCTTGTCCAGCCTGGCCTCGGACAATTCCAGGGATCCAGGAGCAGCCACAGCTTCTCTGGGCACCCTGTGCCAGGGCCTCCCCACCGTCTGATTAAAGAAATTGCATTTCTCCTCAGTGCTGGAGGAATAAACGCCTGTGCTGGTGATCCATATGTGGATGTGCCAGCGTGTGGAAACCTCGGCTCACAGCGAGTGCCTGGAGATGCAGCTGGAACATGTTCAACACCCAGTATCCATCAGCCCTGGAGGACTCAGCACAATGGCATGTGGTCATGAAATGACAGACTGTGTCGCAGGGCAGAGGCAGGAGGGCAGGATTGAGAGTACAGGGAGCGGCAAGGCTTAATTTTAGAGCACTTATGGTTTTTTAGCTGACTCAATGCATGCGTGTGCATCTCACACATGTTAAACGTGTGTGGCTGTGGCGTGCAGCCACCCATCCCGCTTGGCTGCAGCTCAGCCCGTGGCAAAACTCTGTGCTTGAGCATAAACACTCCAGCCCTGTAAACTGGGAATGTTTGGGGAGGATATGTCAGGGAGCAGGGGGTTGGAARTGCACATTTTCAGCCCATATGTAGTCACAGGCTCTGCTGGGGTTTATACGTGTGAAGTTTTCCCATTATGCTTTTCTACAGCAGTTATCAGATCCACTCAGTTGTTGACCTACACTTGGGTTTGGGGCTCCAGATCTGTCTTGCTGAGTGCCATGGGCAAACAAAGATAGGAATTTGGCTTTTAGGGTCCCAGCCCTGATCTCTTTTGGGGGAGGCAGGGGTGGGTGTTGGATGCTGGGTGAAACCAATCTTCTGCACAGCGAGGTCTGGGTACAAACACCCACATCTGCTCTTACAGCTGCTTCCCTATTGCATTTTCCTCTTGCCCAGATTTCTTTGGGGATGACCAGGGTGGGAATGGGCAAAGCAGGCTTTGTTCACAGGGTGGTGCAGCAAGTGAAAACCCAACCCAGCAAGTGAAAACCCAACCCAGCAAGACTCAACCACAGTCACTGTGGCATTTGGAAGAAGACCATCCATAGGTGACAGCAAGGGTTGGCCTGGCAGGGACAGAGTTGGAGCACTCTGTTTTAGCTTTTCACATTTTCTTCAGAGCTGAGCCCTGCAGTGCCCTGCGTGGGGGATGCTCTTCCAAGCCCTTTGGGAATGGGGAGACCTCCTTGTCCAAGACACCACAAAAAATCATTTCCTGCCGCTGGCAACAGAAAAAAGTGCCTCAGTTTTCCCCTGMGGTCTGGGAGGATGACGTGGGTGTTGCAAGGACCATCACCCCACCCACTGTGGACAGGGAGGAAATGGCACCATGGAAATATCTGGCCTTTGCTGTAACACCGAGCCCTTTGCCCAGCCCAGGGCAAGGCTGTCAGGGTTCCTGCTCATTCCCTGGCCCTCRTGCCTGCTGCTGGCACRGGGCACTTTGGCTTCCTTGTCCTCYTCAGCCCAGSCAGTGAGTCAGAGGAGCTGTTCTTTGCAGGGCCCTGTCCTTCCCTGACCTGCTCCCTTGCCCAGTGGTGTGTGCTGGGGCGCTCAGCACCACCTCGTGCTGGGGTTTGGTGGGCAGCAGTGATGAGGCACAGTGGAAAAAGGGAGATTTCCTGTCCCTCCGTGCACAGCCACAGGCACACATGCATGCACGTGGTCCCCGGAGATGTCYGTGTACGTTCTGTGCTGGCTCCCGCCAAGGCTCCCTGTGCGTGCTCTGTGCTCCAGCTCCCACTGGGATTTTGCTGCATTTTAGTTTTGTGGCTTCCCCTAATTCAAAAAATGTGTTTTTCAGATGGGTATCGAGCGGCTGCTCTCACAGGGAGGGGAAGATCAGATGGGCTGGACCCACCAGTAACTGCCATGCCGTGTCAGTGTCTCGCCATGGGTGCTGGGGACGATGGTTTGGGGCTGCTCCAGCCAGACCAGCTTRTTTTCCAGTGTGCCAAGGGGCACCAGCTCCTGGAGCCAGCACATTTTGTCCTGCTTCTATTCTCCCAAAGCTGCCAGAAATGTTTTTCTTCTTCTCTCATAAAATGCTAATAATAAAAAGCTCCCGGAGGTGCGGATGCCCAGGGGAGTGGTGCTGTTTGTTGGGGAGGAGGGGGGACCCTTGCCCAGATCTGGGAGGTGCTGGGATTTTTCTCCAGCAGCAGAGCAATGTGAGTTACTGCTGTTTGTCTTCCCAAATTCCTGCTTTATTTCAGGGCCACTCTCCTCCTCCCTCGTCGGCCCAGTCAGGGTGTGAATGCCACTTGGCCTGTGCCATTTCACTTTCACAAGGGACCTGCAGCTTCTCACCTCTATCTCCCCTTTTCCTTGCCCTCCACTTTGGAGAAAACATGGATTTGGTTTTTTTTTTTTTTCAAATGCATTTTGCTCTGAAGGAGCCTCTATAGGACAGAATGCCCCATCCTGGTCCATCTCTTGGAGCAAGCAGGGACCTCCCAGCACCCATCCTCATCTGTGAGCAGGTTCAGGTGAGCATCCTGGGATCACCCCACGAGGATGAGTTCCCATGCCCCAAAAGCACCTATCCCGAGTGATCTAAGCATGCCGTGATCATGCTGCAGGGCTGCTGTGCCCCAAGCAGAGCCTCATCCCTGAATACAGATGCCCGAGGCAGCCCCTTCTCTCCTGTCATGAGGAACAGGTCCCCACGTCCCGACCGTGGGTTGGAGTGGATGCCCCAGATGTCCCGCTCACCCCGGATAAAAACAATTGACATTCCCATCTTGCTGCGTCCCACAGGAAATCACYGTCCCTGCCTTGCCAAGCCGATTGAAAGGCGTTGACGAGGCGAGCGGAGCCTCCGTCACAGTTTCCGAGCAGCCAGCCAGCAGCCAGCAGATTATAGCCTGCAGTGTCACTCGCGTTTGGGGCTTTTTTCTCTTGGAGGAAAACAAGGAGATGAGCCAAAAGCTCTAAGGAAGGGTCTGGGAGCGAGGCCCCGGGTGTGCTGGGCTGCTCCTGGGGCAGCGAACAAGCGAGGGCTCTGTGCGATCCAGCCCTGCCCCGGCAGCCGCCCCAGCCGCCGGCCACGCGCCGGCTCCGGGATGCCTTGGCCCTCTTCCCCTGCTCCTCCAGCTGAGAACACGGCCCGTTTGGCCTCTCCAGCTGCTGGTTTTTTGGTGTGCAGGGAATTTTCTGGCTGGGGCAGCAGAGCCTGGGGGGATCCCCATCCGCTCGGGGGACTCTGGGCTGGGGGCTCTCGGAGTGCTTGGGGCTCAGCAGGGCCGCTTTGGGCTTTCCTCCGTGTTTTAACATCTCAGCACAAAAGCTTCTCCCACCTCCTTCCCAGCACGTAGGAGGATGAAGGAGCCAAGTCTAGGCCCAGGCAAGGGGAAGCACTCGGAACGCTCAGCGTCAGGATTTGCAGAGTRCTGGACACTTTTCGGAACAGGGCAGCATCTTCTCCTGAGTGTGTGGGAGGGCTCGAGAGCTGGTGGGTGGATGCTGCCCTGCCCCCAGGCTCCTTCCGAAGTGTGGGGCATCCCCAGCCCTGCCGCAGGACAGTCAGCTGCATGTTGGGGTGTGCGGGAAGGAGAAGCATCGGCGTGTTTGGGGTATAACCGAGCTCTCCAGGCGCTGCAGGGACTCCCGCTGTCCCGGCCGCAGGAGGATGCTGAGGCTGAGGAGGAAGGAACGGAGCAAACCCTGCCTAGGGCCAGGGGTGTGGAGCCGGGGAGGGGCTGGGTGYTCAACAAGGCTCCATTCAGGCTGCGGTGGGGCAGGTGGGGGCCAGGGCCGGCTGTGTTTGCAGGGAGGGGACTGGAATCCATTAAAGCAGCTCTTTAATGAGCGCAGCGGGTGCCAGGAGAGCCCCGCGCAGACACACGCGCCCCCCTGAAAGACTCGCTGTGTTCGCAGCCGTTCCCACCCCGGCCGCACCGCTTTTCCAGCGGTGGAAAAACAGCCGGCGAGTGAAAGCTCCTTGTTGCCCGAACAGCCCCGGGCTTGTGCGGCCGCTGGTGCAGCCCAGCCCTCCTTCCTGCCCGCCGCCCTGCGCCAACAAGCGGCCCCTGTGCCGGCGCTGTGCCTGCTGCTGGGGTGCTGCTGGGCCGCCCCACGGGCAGCCTGCCGAATTCCTTCTTCGCTGCCTCAGGAGCTGGGTTTGGGGCCCTCTGAGTTGTTCGGGGTTGGTTTCTTTTATTTAAAAAACTTCTAAGGTAGTGAGGTCACCCGTTAGCAGCCGCATTGTGCTGCACCCACCCGCTGTGCAAACGCCCGGAGGGGCTGGGGAGTGTGAGCCCTGGAGGGATTCAGGGGGATGTGAATATGGGAAGGGTTCAGGGGATAAAAATACTGGAAGGGTGCAGGGGAATGCCAGCGTCAGAGAGGCTGGGTGATGTGAACATCAGAGGGGTTCAGGGGGATGCAAACACTGGAGGGGCTCGGGGGCAGCTGCCCAGCCTGGGGACGCTGCTCAGCAGCTTGACCCCCTCTTGTTCACCCCATAGTGAGTACATGAGGCTCCTGTCCCACTCCCAGCACAGGCAGGGTGGGCAGAAGCRCCGTGGGTGGTCCTGGGGCTCAGGCTCCCTTGTCCCCAGGCTGGCTCTGTGCTGCCCGATGGGACCTGCAGCTCCCCGGAGCTAGGGCTGGGCTGCGCCCCCATCCCCACGCAGGATGGAGGGGCTGCGGGAGGAAGGGATCCGATGGGCTTTTGGAGAAAGGCTTCTTTATGTTCCACATTCCCTTGGTTTTACGGCGTGGTTTTATTTATGGCTGGGGAAGGAAA